TTTTTTTTTTTTTTTTTGGTTTGAGTTATGTGAAATGTGTAAAATAATAGGGTTTGGGCTCAAGCATATTTACATTTATTGCTAATATTTCTTTTTCTTTTATTACTGCTGCCAAAACTCTTGTTTTACTCCATGTTGGTATTTATCTGGACTCTTAGCAGTAATGACCAGCCCACCTGTCTCCAATGTTTTCCTGCCTCCAGAAGCTGCCTGGCTAGTTTAGTTTTTTTTTCAAGTATTACCTTACCTGCACTAAAAAAAAAAAAAAAAAAAAAAAAAAGAAAAGGTCCCATCTTTGCCTGTGGGCAGAAGGATTGATCTTAATTCTTCATCCAGAATTCAAGGCCTTCGTAACCTGGAAGCAACCTACTTGGGATATAGTAAAGAGTTGTGATAGGTTCTAATACCACTTTTGTCATTTACTGACTCCTTAATCTTTGGCAAGTTACTTAACCTCCTCATGCCTTAGTTTTCTCCTCTGTAAAATGGGTATCAATCTCATAGGGCAGTTGTGAGACTAAAATGGTTCACATGTAACCATCCTAGAATGATGCTTAATATACTGGCAATTACTGTCATAATTATGAGTCCCGTTTTGGGCTCTGCTACAGAGGATCTGAGAGACAACAGAAACATGGTACCAACAACAGCTGGATTCAGCCTGCAGTCATGTTAATTTGTCATGCACAGTATTTTGTCTTATTTCTATTTGAAGTCATTGCCATTATGTAAAATCAGAATATTTTATGTAAAATCCAGATTTCTAGCTAGTCCTAAAAAGTAAAATTTGGCAATAATAGTTTAAAGCTAAATAGAAGAAACTCAGCTTTCTTATGTCCAACCTTTCACTCATTCCAGGCCCACCTGTGCCACAAAACCTGGCCAGGGAAAGGCTCCCAGCCCTGCCACAGTACCCAGTCAACCATGCAAACTCAGGACCATGCACTTCCTGGCACACTGTACTTGCCAAGTCCTTTCACTTTTCCACTCTCCTGTTTCACACTCCTTCCTGAAACCTGCAACTCCTTCTCTCCCAACCTTTCTTTTACCTGCTCATACGACCTCCTTTGTGAGAGAACTGCACAATCATGAGTACCCTTCCATGAATTTTCACCATCATATCAGCCCCTGCTGAAATGTGCACCTGTGCTCTGCCTTTCTGGTTTTGGCTGAAAAGGAATGATCTGTGCTCCAGTCAGAAGCCAGCCTCTCTTGCTGTGCAGTACTCAAGTATGTTGCTGCAATAAGTCTCCCTTCTTTCTTTTATGCCATCAGTATCTCTCTTTTTACACGATTATCCCATTGTGTTACACTCTCCCCTCTTAAATAATAAAAATGTTTTCATGACCTGTTTCCCTTATAGCTACCCTTCTTTTCTTTCCTACCCTACACAACAAAACTTGGAAGGATTATTGCCAATTCCTCTCCTTAAAAGTTAGGAGTCTCTCAAACTCACTATAGTCAGGTTTCCCACCCTACCCTCATTCTGCCAAAACTCTCTTCTGGATCTCTAGCAACTTCCATGTTGTTAAATCCAGTGGTCTTTTTTTTTTTTTTTTAAGTTTATATTTAAATTCCAGTTAGTTAACATACAGTGTTATATTAGTTTCAGGTGTACAATATAGTGATTCAACAATTCTATGGGTTACTTAGTGCTCATCACAACGAGTGCCCTCCTTGAATGCTCATCACCTATTTCACCCATCCCCACAACTACCTCCCCTCTGGTAACCATCAGCTTGTTCTCTGTAGTTAAGAGTCTGTTTCTTGGTTTTCCTCTTTCTCTTTTTTTTTCCCTTTGCTCATTTGTTTTGTTTCTTAAATTCCACATTTGGGGGGGCTCCTGGGTGGCTCAGTTGGTTGAGCATCTGACTTCGGCTCAAGTCATGATCTTGCATTCATGGGTTTGAGCCCCACGTCGGGCTCTGTGCTGACAGCTCAGAGCCTGGAGCCTGCTTCAGATTTTGTGTCTCCCTCTCTCCCTGCCCCTCCCCTGTTTGCACCCTATCTCTCTCTGCCTCAAAAGTAAATACACATTAAAAAAAATTCCACATTTGGGTGAAATCATATGGTATTTGTCTTTCTCTTTCTGACTTATTTTGCTTGGCATAATACTCTGTAGCTCCATCCACGTCATTTCAAATGACAAGTAAATCCAGTGGTTTTATTGATCCAGCAGCACCACCATGAACAGATAATCATGCTTTTCCTTGATGTACTTTCTTCACCTCTGGGACACCAGATAGTCCTTGTTTTTATCCTTCTCAATCCTTTAACTGGTTTCTCCTTTTTCTCTGGCTTCTTTATGTTAGAGGACCCAGGGCTTAGTTCTTGGCCATCCTCTCTTCTCTGGCCACACTTATTCCCTTCGTGGTTTAACCTAGTTTCATGGCTTCAAATACCATCTATATGCTGAAAACTCCCAAGTGTATATCTTCATCCCAGTGCCCAGACTCACACATCTAGTTGTTTACTCAGCTTCACTGTGGGATTGCTTAATAGAGTTTCCAAAGTGGACATGTCCAAAGCCAGATCCCTGATCTCCACCCACATACCCATTAGCACACTCCTTCCCTTCCTGCTTTTCTTCTGTCAGTTGGTGCAACTTCATGCTTCTGGTTCCTCAACCCAAAAACTTTGGACTCATTCCTGATCTCTTTCTATCTCACCTCCCATCTTCACACACACCTCAGACATCACTTCTATCAACAATCAGTGGACTTTTAAAATGTGTGCAGATTCTGGCCATTTGTTAGTACCTCTACTGCTATCAGGCTGGTCCCTACCACCACCATTCCACCACCAGTCCTGTACAAATTTTGTTACTTCTCTGAACTCCTTAACAGCTGCTGTGCCCAACACATGCTTCATGCCGGCCACACAGGCCTCCCTGATACTCGTCTTCCATCAGGCCAGACAAGCCCTGCCCCCAGGCACCTCCTTGGGTAAATCCCTTGCTTCCTTGGAGTCTTTACTCAAATGTTACCTTTTAAATAAGGCCTACTCTGTAACTACTTAAAGTTGCAATCTGCCTCCCACCAAAGTTCACCTTAACCAGATATGCTTTTTTCATAGCATTTATCATTTTCTAATGACCTATGTAATTTACTCATTTACTAGGTTTTATAGTTATTGTCTGTATCTTCTGTAAGAACATAAGCTCTACAAGGAAGCAATTAGACAATGTCTAAAACTTAGTAGACATTCAATAAATATAAATATGAGCATAGATTGTAGAATTGCATAATACTACTTATTTTTAGAAATCATGAAGAAAGTTATATAAATAAGGCAATGTGTTATCTAGAATTACCTTGATAAATATTTAAACATTATAGGGCAGATTTTTTTTCTCTGCAAATTTTAAGTGTGTTCCTTTGACCTTTTCAGGCAATGCTAGTCCTCGATACATTCGTTGCACAACTTACTGTTTCCCATGCACGTCAGATATGGCCAAGCAAGCTCAGATTCCATTAGCTGCTGTCATCAAACCTTTTGCCACAGTTCCTTCAAATGAGGTAAGAATGATGAAAATAGTAATTCGAGGAACGCCTGGCTGGCTCAGTTGGTGGAACATGCGACTCTTGATCCTGGGATTGTGAGTTCAAGCCCCATGTTGGGTGTAGAGATTCCTTAAAATAAAATCTTAAAAAAAAAAAAGCAATTCAACAATTTACCAATTCAAAATCCTTCTTTCGTCATTGTTTTTTTATTCTGTATTATAAACATAAAATTGGAGAATATTTATATAGTGCAAAAATATCTAAATAGATGAATATTCAATAGAATAACTATTCAATTCACTAAGGAAGACAAAAATCTGACAAGCTATCTTTTTTGGCAACCTGTGTACCAAATACTAATGGACTGGATCACTTGTGGCTCTGTTGTAACAATGTGAATACTCAGAAAATATGGAATGTCATATACTCAGACCTCTCATGTGGCCCTTATAGCCTAGTTCGAAGCCCCGGCATCTAGGTGTTCTGGTGAAGGAAGTTAACAGAGCCCAAGGTTCATGGTCTTATTAAGCTGCTTTAATAGTCATGGGGCCAAGCTGTTCATAAACTCCTGCTTAAAAAGTCGGTATGGTTAGAAAACGTATGTCTTGAGTTGGAAAGATGTACCCAATATATAATTCATTTGGGTGTTTATTTTAAATTTCTGTTATTAGGATGGAGTTAATGGATGTTGTGATTAAAACATCCTCCCACACTGCTGTGATTCCTTCTTTTCATGTCCTGAATGGTGGATACCCACATATACATAGAGACATAAGGTACTATAGTAGAGCTAGTAAAATAGGTTAGGAAAAGCTTTAATTCTGGCTGGAGCTTTGGCCATAACCCTATTGCACTAGTCCAGTCAGCTACATTGAACCCTGGATTCCTTTTGCTGCACCCAGATTCTCTTCCCAACTGAACCCTCAGCTTCCCTTTAATGGTTCTTTAAGCTTGGCTGATGTAGTGAACACCTAACAGCATCTGAGCAAAAGGCAGACCATCTGCACAGGAAAACAGATTTGTCCCCTTTCGTGGTCTGGCCGTGCCAGCTGTTATGGGCAGCATGGTGGCATGGGGAAGGGGAAGAGGGGTCTGCTTTACATCACCTCAGGGATGGAGGAAACGGGAGAGAGAATGCGTCCGTGTGGACACTGGCTTTCATGCCCTTTGAGATGTCCACTCATTCTCCTTGTAGTATGGCAGAATGCTGCCCTCTCTTTGGGAGTGGAGTGAACTGGCTTAGAGCGGAGCATAGAAGGGGCTATTCCTGGAAGCCAATATTACATGCACTATGGTCTCATATTTGTAAATCAAGAAGTACATTCAGTATTTACTATACTTATTTTAAGTGTGGTCTCTTATATGATGGACCCAGAAATTTAATATAATGTCTATAAAGTCCTCTTTGAATCCCTATGCTTAATAAGGATAAGGTAGACCAATATGTAATGGCAAAGAGATCCATGTTTAAATATGATATGTGTTTCAAATAATAGCTAGAAATAATTTTTTAGCTATTTTCATATTTCATTATGAAAATTTTCAAGTGTACAGAAAATTTGAAAGAATTTTATGGTGAACACCTATATATCTGCCACCTAGATTCCACCATTAATATTTAACTATTCTTGGCTTTGTCACGTTTTGAGTCATCTGTCCATCAATCCGCCTTTTTTAAATGCATTTCAGAGTAAATTGCAGACATTAATTAGTACATTTCCCCCTAAATACTCCAGCATTCATGGCATTAATGAGAGTTCAATATTTTCTTACAGATTGTTTTTCCTTTTGAAGTAAAATTGATTTACAGTAAAATGCACATATCTTAAATACGATTCACTGAATTTTGACAAATGGATATATCTGTGCAACTCAAACCCCTCTGAAGATGAAAAACATTACTGTCATTCTTAGAAGTGTCTCCTGCCCCTTCCACCAGCCTCCCCTAACAACCTTTCTTCCTTGGCAACCATCGTTCTGATTTTTTTCCACCATAGATTTGTTTTGCCTCTTCTAGGTGCTCATGTAAACAGACTTCTAGGGTATGCACTCTTCTGTGTTAGGCTTCTGCCAGCAGCTTAATGTTTAGAGCACCATAAACATGCTATTGCCTGTATTAGTAATGTGTTCTTTTTTTTAGTGTGAATAGTATTTGAGTGTATGGGCATACCAGTTTGTTTAGCTAGTCTTTTATGATGAACATCTGGGCTGTTTCCAGTGTCTGGCTGTTGTGAGTGAAAATTCCATGAATATTCTCGTACAAGTCTTTCTGTGGACATATAGTCATTTCTCTTGGATTAATACCTATAAGTAGTTTGCTGGCTCATGAGGTACATGTTTATTTAATTTTATAAGAAACTGCCAGGGGCACCTGGGTGGCTCAGTCAGTTGAGCATCTGACTCTTGGTTTCAGCTCAGGTCATGATCTCACAGTTTGTGAGTTCAATCCCCAAGTCAGGCTCCACACTGACGGCACGGAGCCTGCTTGGGATTCTCTCTCCCTCTCTCTTTGCTCCTCCCTTGTGCATTCTCTGTGTCTCTCTCTCTCAAAATAAATAAATAAACTTAAAAAAAAGAAAAGAAAAATAAACCGCCAGATCATTTTCTAAAATGGGTGTACCGCTTTACAGTCTTTCTAACATTGTATCAGAGAGCCTCTCTGTTTGCTGTTGTCGTCTTTTTAATTTTAGGAAGTTCTGATGGCTCTGTAGTAGTACTGTGAGATGTATTTTTAATTTCACATTTTATACTTTGAACAAATTTAAATTAAAAGAGGACTAGTGAATAATATCACACTCACCTACTACCCATCATTAACAAATATTAATATTTTGTGATATTTTCTTAAAATAATTTTGTGGGAATTAAAGCTTCCTAGCTATATAGGGTATTTCCTTTATCAGGCCATTCCTCTCCTCCCTCCCCTTTGGGGCAGATGCTATAATGAATTTGTATCTATCCTTCCTATATGTGACTTTATATATAGACTTCATGCTCATGGGTCCATGGTAATACATAGTATTATTTTGCTTTTTAATGAATCAATTAATTTTAAATAAGTAAAATATAAACTTATATGAAAGGGCTATACAGTTAAAAAAGGTCTCTTCCTACCATTCTATCCTCCCCCTTACAGATGACGTTTACCTATTCTTTATGATTCCTTCTAGAAATGAAAAATGCATATATCAGCATGTAAGTACACATCCTTTAAAAAAATAAATATATAAATGGTCGTATAGCATAGAGACTCTTTTTCACATTTCTTTTTTCAATTAAAGTGTCTGGGGGGCACCTGGTTGGCTTAGTTTGTTAAATGTTCGACTCTTGGTTTCAGCTCAAGTCATGATCTCACGGTTTGTGGATTTGAGCCCCGCATCCAGTTTTGCACTTACAATGTAGAGACTGCTTGGGATTTTCTCTCTCTCCCTCCCTCTCTGCCCTTCTCTCTCTCTCTCAAAATAAATAAAATAAACATTAAAAAAAAA